GAGAGAGAGTGTGTGTGTGTGTGTGTGTGTGTGTGTGTGTGTGTGTGTGCATTGGTTTCAGAGTGTGGGGTGGTTAGCAGTTGGTCGTTAAACATTACCTTCACGTTAGCGGTCTTTGTGGACCCCAGTTTCACAGAGATGTTGTGGTCAACTGATGGTTTGGCAGGGATTACCAGGAGCTCCATCTTTGCAGTGATGGTGCATGTGGCATTCAAAGGAAGTGTAATTGCAGAGAGAAGAGAGAGAAAGAGAGAAGTGAATTTCCAGGTGTTGAAAATAAATAGAACTGTCCCCCCCACCCCAAGTTGGACAAGGGCGCTGTGTGATTTGTGGAGGTCCTGGAGTATCTGATGCCTATACTGCAAAGAGTGCCCCATCCAGGAGAAAGACGTGAGTAAACCTGCTCTACATTTGGCTCTGCTTAAGTTTTTTTTTTTTGACTGGCTAATGCTAAATCTATATTGTCCAGTATCGGGATTTGTAATCCCTTTATTCAGTCCTTGGACAGCTGTTTAATCTCATACTGAATAAAATGTCAAACTATCTGTTTCATTGATACACAGAGGGATGGCTGCCCCAAGATCGTAAACCTCGGCATCTCAAAGACTGACCTTTTCTATGAGAGAAAAAAATACGGCTTCAAGAAGAGGCGAAGAAACAGAGGGACTTTGTTTGTTGCAAGAGTTTCTACTTTTTTCTCAGACTTGATACAATAGAAGGTGCTCCCTTTTGGTGTTCATCTCTTGCTTTTAGGACCCTAAAATTACAAACACAAACATTTCTAACAATATCTAACAATAGTGAGCCATTTATGTGCCAACTTGCTTGCTTATTGGATATATTTATATATATTTATTTAACATAAGCATAGAAGCTATAACAGGCAACAGTAGGCTAATATACAAACAGCATCTTCATACAATGTACAACCATTGCAGTATAGAAACATTTATTAAAATAAATAAAAAATATATAACTCCAAACATAGATTCATAATATATTAAACAACACGGTTACACTTTATTTTAAGGTGTCCTTGTTACAGTGTAATTATACATTTAAGTACTGAGTAATATACTTACTATATGGTTAGGATTAGGGTTTGACTTAGGGTTACTTGCATGTAGTTATGCATAATTAATTGTTATTATAATAGTAAGTACATGTAACATGTGTAACAAGGACACCTTAAAATAAAGTGTTACCAACAACACTGTACAGCAAGGTTCCATTTGTTAACAATAGTTAACTACATTAGTTAACATGAACTAACAATGAAAAATACTTCTAAAGCATTTAATTATCTTAGTTAATGTTAATTTCCATGAGAATAGACCATGAATAAACAATGAACAGACGTATTTATTAACTAATAGCCTATTAAAGATTAATAAATACAGCAAACATTCCTCATTGTAATGTTAGTTAATGTTAATTAATGGAACCTTATTGTAAAGTGTTACCAAATTGTACAACTGAAGTACTTTTCATATTCTTGATTAATTTAAGAGACTGTAGCTATTAAAGAGACAAGCTTGTCACAAAAAGTCTGTAAAATATATTATACACGTCAATCTTAATTTAAAAAGTTTGCATTATACTTAGATTATTTTTACGGACAAAAATGTGCACTCTGTCCAGGGATATCATACAATTTTATACCTATAAGATAAAAAGGTTTCCAGACCTTTTACAGTTTATAATTGAGAATGGAATTTCAATAAATCAAGTTTTCGCCATGAAACACGTCTCTATTTTAGTAGTACGCATCTGGTGTAATACATAGCTTTGAAAATTTTTTTTCATCGTCTACCTTAACATTTGACACAAGGGTTGTCCTGGGACTTATTGGATTTCTGTAAAGGGACATGATGAAACTCATCCAATTAAAAAAGTATTGGGAAAATGTTGGGAACATGAGTCAGACAAGTTTAGAAGTTTTGGAAGGATAGCAGAAGAAGAAGCCCAGTCATGTGGAATAATAAATGTAGAAATGAGCCCTGCAGTAGTAGTGTCACCCATTTCACCTTGGTTATTCCCTTTACCATTAATAGACTTTAAGTTGCAAGAAATTATACTCCAGCCTAGTAGGTGGCGGGAATGCACCTATCGTTTGTTTGCCAATCGCCATAAAACTCCAAAAGAAGAAGAAGAAGAAGAAGAAGGGTTGTCCTGTGTCCAGTAGGTGGCACTAAGATGCTAAGGAGCCTTCCATTCAAATCATCAGAAGAAGGGAGTTCGGAGGTCATCGCCGCATCGTCGCTAGTGTGTGGCTAGCATTTAGCGCTCGTTCTTTCATTATGGCAAAACATCACCCTGATTTGATTTTTTGCAGGAAACAGGCTGGAGTTGGTAAGGTTGCTGTTTATTATATCTAGATTTAGAGTTTAATACCTTAGTTTAATACCTATTTAATATATTTGTTTAACGAACAAAAGTGAAACTAACAATGCAGTGAGAAAGTTTGCTAGCGCTAAAATCAAATGAATGAATAGTACAATTTAAAAAGAAAGTTGGAGGCGATTAATGCTTTAGTTAGTAGTTAACGGCTTTATCAGGTATTGGCAGTATTGCTATTATTATTTTTAACCTTTTGCTGTTTTGTTCAGTTGCATGTTTTCCGTTTGATCAAGTGTGTGAATAACGTTGAATCTAATTGGATCTTTCCTTTCTTTGCAGCCATTGGAAGACTATGTGAAAAATGTAGGTTTTTGACTATTGGTTTGAAGCTTTACCATTTTTTTTCTCATTTCAAACAAATGTCATTTGTTTTCAGTGATTTTTTTGCTTCTTCAAATATTCAATTCATTTTCACATTTATTTGTTTTACAGATGTTTGGATAAAAGAAAATGAATCACTCTTTTATGTGCATACTAAATAGCGTCCAGCAGTAGAAACTGATTGTTAACCGTGCCATAAAAACATTTCAAAACTGAACTACCATGAGCTCCAAGGCTGTTAAGTGAAACATATATGGCACTATTCTGGAGATGGTCCTCACTGCAGAACACAAGATCCAGGGGGCGAGGTTGGATCCAGATCCAACTCCTCCCACCTTACATATACCTAAACCTACCTGTCTCCACCCCCTAGATGTGGATCCAACCTTGCCCCCTGGATCTTTGTTCTGCAGTGAGGGGCTACTGCAATTCTGTGTTATAAGAATGGTTCTTCTTCAGTGTTGTGCTCTTTAACTCAACAGATGTCTGTTTCTTTTCTTTTTAAGGTGATGGCAAATGTGTTATATGTGACTCTTATGTCAGGCCCTGTACACTAGTTCGTATTTGTGATGAATGCAACTATGGGTCTTACCAAGGGCGCTGTGTGATTTGTGGAGGTCCTGGAGTATCTGATGCCTACTACTGCAAAGAGTGCACCATCCAGGAGAAAGACGTGAGTAAATCTGCTCTACATTTGGCTCTGCTTAAGTATTGTTTGACTGACTGATGCTAAGTCTATATTGCCCAGTATCAGTGATGTGTAACCATATTTTCCTTTTTTTCAGTACTTGGGGTGCTGTTTAATCTCATATTGAATAAAATGTCAAATGTAATTATCTATTATGTTTTTAAATGCATGCTTTTTTTCATTCATTGATACACAGAGGGATGGCTGCCCCAAGATCGTGAACCTTGGCAGCTCGAAGACTGACCTTTTCTATGAGAGAAAAAAATACGGCTTCAAGAAGAGGTGAAGAAACAGGGATTTTATGTCACAGTAGTTTTTCCATGCACAAGTTTTCCATTTTGTTATCAGACTTGTTGTTACAATAAATTTTTTTAATGTTGTGATGAATATTCTGTTCGGTTTTATTTGATACTTATAATACATCTGCAAACTTCTAGTATTTACCTGGCTTTTGACAACATTTTTTTCCCCATTTTTAGATGATTAAATGGTTGTAAGGATGAATATTTTATGTCTATCAACTTTTGTTCTTAGCAGCTGGAAGTAGTAATAGAGATTTCAAAATGAGAGACCTGGGGCCTCGTGTATAAATTTTTACGTATATTTAATCCTAAATGTGTGCGTACGCACAAAAGCTAGATTTTACGTACGTACAAAAGTTTTCAGATGTATAAAGCCATGGGTACGCCAGAACCTGTGCGATATTCCCTTTGTAATACCCAGTCAGCGGAAAATTGTGCGTACATGAATCTCCAACCCGTCTCCTTCCCGAAACAACGCCTAGTTTTAAAGGGGTCATATGATGCGATTTCAAGTTTTCCTTTCTCTTTGGAGTGTTACAAGCTGATTGTGCATAGATAAGATCCCTGAAGTTGCAAAGACAAGTCTCAAAACCAAAGAGATATTCTTTATCAAAGTTAAGACTCTGCCACGCCCCCCTAAAACGGCTCATTCTAACACGCCCCCACATATCTACATCACCATGTGGAAATATTTGCATAATGCGCCCAAATGATCACGCAAAGAAAGAAGGCGTGGTTTCAGTAACCGCAGTTAGTGTTGAAGCAGCCATGTCAGGGAGACGCTGTGTGTTTCAGTGCGAAAGCAAAAGCACTTTATTTGGATCACTTACAACAGAACAGCAATGCATTTTATGGACGACCGTTTCGTGAACCTAGGAGAAGAGGTCATTCTGCCTTTGCTATGACAATCTGGCGCTTCTGAATCAGCTACTGTTTTGTTATTAGTTTAAGTATTTGCTATTGACTGTTCAAATGCGGAGTTTTGCGCATAGTGTGTGTGTGTGCGCGCGCGCGCGCGCGTGTGTGTGTGTGTGTGAGAGAGAGACAGGGTCACATCACAGGAGTCTGCTGTCTTAACCGTGGCTTGTGTACTGCAAACACATACCAGCTTCATCACTGTGTCTGTCACGCGACTCTGTTCCCCTTTCGGGCTCTGTCTTTACATTTATTTTGAAAGATGAAGCTCGCGATTATGGTAAGGGGCGTTACATTTCCGACGAGTGCTTGCGGTGTTCGGCCAATCACAATGCACTGGGTCAGCTGGCCAATCAGAGCAGACTGCGCTTGTCGGAAGGAGGGACTTTGTAGAAAACGAAGCGTTTGAGAGAGGCGGGGCATAGAGGACATACAATAATGTACAGTATTTGAAAAATAATGTGTTTTTTGAACATTAAAGCATGTCAACATATTCTGTTACACCAAATACACAAAATAATGATATTTAAAAAAGCATCATATGACCCCTTTAATATGCATAACGTCATCTGCATATCATTTCCATGCATATCCACGTGACACCATGTTTAACGCAGTTAAGGGTAGGAATACGTTAGGAAAATGAGATACGGACTATAAATGCGTTTTGAGACATCACTATTCTAATTTATGCAATTTGCCTAAAAGGTAAACATATATTTTAGAATGTTTATAGCCTATATTTTGATGGAAAGAGAAAGGCCTTATTTTTTTGCAGTGTAAATGGCTGTCTGACTCACCGCGTCAATAACAAAACATTTTGAAAATAAAACGCGCATATCTTAGTTTCCTTCAAATTCTATCTTTTAAATATGGTGTTTGTCACAATATTGGGAAGAGCACGAAAGGGGTTATCATTAGGCTACTGTCTGTCTGTGCGAGACACCTGTGAACAGACTGTCATCAGACCAATGGGCTGTTTGATCAACGATTGCATCCTTATGTCTGTCGTTACCGCCTATGTTCCAAAGCCATCAGACAAAGTCAAGTTCACAGAAATGATCATTATTATTCGCGCAAAAGTATTTTCTCAGAACATGAGTTTTTACGGTGGCCGTGAAGTTTAAAGCGGAATTGTCATGCGCCAAGCAATCCTTGCTGTGATTAAAACATTAATCAGCATACCACAGGAAAATTGTTCGAAAGCAGCACATCCACTGCAAATATTTCTGTTTAAATTCATATAAAAATGTTGTAATTTCTGGATAATAATTTCATGAAATTTCAGTGCTTAACAACTTTATTCAGTGTCATATTTAATCTAAACATGTAAAACAGACTTTAAAATCATTCTGTTTGCTTCCTTATTTCGCTCCCTCCAGTAAAAGAGTGCGTACGTATGGTCTAGTGTCCGTACGGTGCGCACATATTTACGCCTAGTTAATTTTTTTGTAAATCCCGATATGAGCGTGGAAAATTGCGTACGCACATTTCCATGCCCATTTTGTACGTACGCAACGTTAATACATCAGGCCCCTGGTGTATTTTGAGCTTATTTATATTATTTATAAGTCCAGCATTTATGCGTAAAATCTTTCTGAATATTATTGGTGATTGGCTACACAATAAACTGTATCTGGTATTTAATTTGATGTAACTCTCGTGGCTTCGTCATAGGAAGGAAAGACATTCCAAATACAGATTTTACTAGCATATGCCTAGCAGGCCTATACAATCTCAAATCATATATCGCAGATTCTTTTACTTAAATGGGCCAGGGCAAATGCAAGCTAAAAACCGGGTTTATGCAATATATTCACATATGTTGTAGCTGGTTTATGTTGATATCTATGAATTTGACGATTGATCCAATATTGGATCTTGCTGATACAATGTGTTTAAAGAAAGGCAATAAGAAGATTGTGCTTATATACTGGTGAGAACCCTTTTGAGAATTGTATTTAAATGTTGAAATATGATCGCTCCTGAAGAAAATCTACATAGAGTGAACTGCACCATGAATGGCAGCATTCTTTTTCAGACAGAAATGTATTTGGGTCAGCTCAGTATATCTGCATATCACACTGCCTTCTTTAGCCCCGCCCTCTTTGTGTTATGCAACTTTTTTTTTTTGGCATCTGTCTGTGTTACACAATGCTCCTCTCCCATCTGAAATTTGAGATTCGGTTCGTCATAATTCTCTGAGGCATCAAAGCATTTTTTGAACAAATGCATTGTTACTTATTATTAAAAATGATTGACATGTCGGTAAAACAAATTTTTAAATTCTTTAATAATATGTACAACACAAAACAGCAAGACACCGACAACATTTACAAGTCAAAAAATATTTATAAGTCTTACAAAGAGAATTCACTCCTCACAAAAGAACAGTAACAATTAGAAAAACATTAAAATCGACAAAACAAAGATATGTTACTGCAACAAAGTTGGCATCTCATATGCAACTGAGTTTTCTTCTAGTTCAACAGAAGAAACTCTTCTTGTCAGGAACAGTAAATATTCCTTTCAGAACAGCCATAAAGCTCCTTTCCATTTTATTGTCTTGTCCCTCATCTCACCGTCTCACATTTCACACTCGTCAGAAAGGAAGCTCGAGGACAAATGACAAACCATAGAGCACTTTAAAAAAAAAAAAAAAGTGTCTACAGACCACAAATTTGCAAAGATTAAACACCTGATTTGGAGTGGAGTCATTCTGTGCTTGCTAAAGAAAACATGTTCTTCAGCGTTCGATCAAAGTTAGCTTTGGTCAAGATTATGTTACATATCAGATTCCCTTTCCACAAAACACATGAAAAAGGACAAATGTGGCCACATGTGAGTTTTGCCAAATTAAACCTGATAATAAACGTCAGCCTAACTTTCACTTCACAACAATTAACGGAGAGCACAAGATATGAACTGTTTGTGAAACATGTGAATTGACCCTTTATCTTCTTTCCTTGATGATATGTTTCAAAATGACAGAGACAAGTTGCACAAAATATGTGCCTGAAATGCAGGAAAGCGGCAAGCAGGGGGCTGATGCCCTTACGAGAGGTTTGAGTTTAGTTTCTGATATGTAACACTAGCGCCCTTTATAAACAGGCGCTCTGCTGAGGACACTTACGGATTCATATTGACTCTGAGCTATGAATGGTGTGGTTCACACTGCAAAGCCATTTTTGTAAAATATTAGAAGTTATCTGAAAAAAATATATATCATATGATACATATGAAAAAACTCCTATATAAGCACTTCAGTTGTTTTGCTAAGTTCTAAGCAGATACAAGATCCATCGCATGTACAGTCTGTTATTTCTGTGCATAAACTGACCTGCATGAGTCCCAGAAACGGCAAACTACCATGATGAAGTAAACAAGGTATGATTTTAGAAGATCTACTCAGTTATTATCAAAGACACTATCTAAATATTTTTAGGTTTTGCAGATATACAGAGCACCTATTTTCAATAGTTTCTGCTGAATTCTAGCACTTACTGACAGACAAAACATCAACATTTTTTGCAGCACAAAAACATGATAAATTTACAATTCCTGTTTACAGTTTTGATTCAGTTTTTACAGTTTTAATGTGATACATTCTCCCCGTATTTCAATAATGCCATTTTATTTCTACTTTTGCAGGCAAAATGCACCACTTGGTACCCTGTACCAAATTTGCCAAAGGAATTTTTTGAATTGATGTAATTTTTCAGAGAATTCAAAGATATACAAACTGAAGATATATAAGAAAGTAAATTGAAGTCAATGCCAGTGATTCTTTATGAATAAAGACCAGTGACTTCCACTGCACATGATTTCACATTCTAAAACTACTTAGATATTTTAAAACTTGTCATAAAACAAGAACAGGTTAAGGGAAGGCCTCTTCTAACCTGGTGCATTTAAAAAACACACTTAAAAAGCTGTTACAATGAAGTAAGATTAAAATGAAGGGGATATGTTGATAAGAGTGGCTGACAAGGATTTTTTTAAGAACATCACTTAGCTCTACAGTTTTAATCACATTCACTTATCTCCTGTTTTCTCCTCTTCATTCCACACCATTATTAATTTTTTGCCTTTCAAAAATGCAAATAAATCAATAATTGTTTAGAGGTCTACAGCTGATGCACTTGAAAAAGAAGAGAAAAGGCCGTTAATCACCATATTAGTAACAGTACTTATTCACCAATAAGAGTTGCAGTGTTTTAACTCTGTGTGTTGGGCTCTTTTGATTATGTGTTTACATGCAAACTGTCTGTATGCCTGTTTGTCCCTTACAGTGGTCCGTATTTGCTTTCATAGCGTGCCACAATGTTCTTGCAGCACCCAAAGTCCTTGCGCAACTCTGCCACTTCCTGCCTCAGAGCCGAGTTCTCTCGCTCCAGAAAGGCTGCTCGTACTGTGATCTGATTCTCTTTTAGCCGCCTGGCTTCTCGTGAACGCTTGGCTGCAACGTTGTTCTTCTTCCTCCGATGCCAGTATTTCTCGTCCTGAAATAGTGAGAAAAAAAAACATAAAATCAAATGTTGGGGAACAAGATTTTTTTCTCTACTTTGAGAATGACACTGTTGTTATAAAATACAACTGTTAATATCTTTTTACATAACACATGTTCACGTATATTTAGGGTGTAACTGTATAATTGAGTTTTGGACCTCAGGCACAAATACTTGCCGTTGTTGATCAGAGTCAAGTATACTGTTACACGATATTAAGGTAATATTTCAGGCAGTGTTATTGAGATATTAATATAGTTTTTATTAATATTTTGAATTCGTTTTTATTTTTAGATTTTCCGTTTACATTTTATTTTAAAGTTTTAGTAATTTTGTTGTGTTTTGTCATATTTAGCAGCTCTTTTTTAAACGTCTATATAGTATTCATTAATTTTTATTTAATTTTTAGTTTATTTTAGTACATTAAGTTAATTAAGTAAATATAATGCCTTAGCAAATAGCTGAAATAAAATAAGTTTAAGGATATTTCAGGAAACGTTTACTTTATTTCAAGTAACACAAATTTTTTAATGGTTTTAGTTAATTATAATAACCCTGAGGAAAGTGCAACTGTGTGTTTACCTTCTGTTCCTCGGGCACAAGTACTTTCTTTGCCTTCTTGATCATAGGCTGAGGCTTCAGCTCCTCCTCAGAGAAGCGATGTTTGCGAGGGTTAAACAGTTCACCTCCAGGTATACTGGACAGCACAAGGTCTGTGTGATCCGGCTCGAAGTTGATCTCTACCACAATATCTTCTGGATTAATGGGCTCTGGCTTCACACGGTTCTCATCTGTGATGAAAAGTGAATTAGTAAAGTCCAATAATGAAATTAAACCAACATCTAGTACCGTTTCATTACTTTCAAACATTTTTGCTATTTCAATTCAATATGTTTAAATATCACTCAATTGTTGTTGAGTCTTTAAGTCAGATCTTCATGATAAACAGCTTGACAGTGTAATGGATAAGTATGTTGTGACCGAAAGTACACTGTGTTCTGTTTTCTCTGCTGACCTGATTTGCTGTCTGTTGAGCTGGATGCCGTGATTGTGACCACTTCCTCCTCACACTGATCCAGTTCCATGACTGGCATAAGAGAGATTGCTGGGGCTGTCTTGCTTGTAGAGGTTGTGGATGAGTTTTCAGTTGTCAGCTGTAAGTTTTCTTCCTCAAGATCCTTTTTCTGACCCTCATCTCCTAAGACAGGAATGCCATTCTCCATGAGAAACTCCTCCAGATCCATGTATTCCAGGTGGAAGGTATCGCCATCATAGGGAATGGTCTTTTCCCAGATGGCAGGTGTTAAGGCAGCTGATGGTCCCATTTCACTGACCCCTTCAGAGTCAACATCCTCAAAGAGTTTCTCTTTATCACTTTCTGCAATTTAAAAACAGTTATAAATTATGACAGAATTTTTTTTTTAATCCCAAGTCTAAGAATCTACACGTAATATGCATCGGACAAAATGTAGATAAAGTGTAATAAAATTTAAAAGTTCTGTTACTGGGCAGAACAAACTGCAGATTTGGAAAAAGAGACAAACTGTCGCAGTTTCATCAAGTGACTTAAAGTTCGGTTCTTGCGAAGAGATTCATTATTAAACGTGCATGTTGTTATTTCATATGTTACAGTTCAGTTTGTAACAGACAAGATTCAGCATACAAAAACAAAAATTTATGCACCAGACAAACAAGCGCGCAGCGCTGGAAAGGGGCGGAGCTACATAAGATCTATATAATGTGCATGTACATTAAACAGTGCTAAAATAACAAATTGTTATTGTGAATCGGTTCTACTAACTCACTGAAAACATTAAAGAATGATTCATTCACGAAGTTCCATAGTTTTCGAGAATGTAACCGTGAGACATTAAGTTATAACCCGAACCACGTTATAAATAACACGAATTAACACGTTCTCTATTTACATAACGAGAAAAGCTTACAGGTCTGTTGTTATATTAACATACATGATGCATTTGACAATAATTCGGCAGTACAGCGAGCACCGACCGCAAGCTTCTGCGCAGCCACAAGCGCCCGACTGGTGCAGAGGCACTTACCGTCGTCGCCTTCTAGAAGATTCGGTGGCGGAATTTCCATTATTTTCTTTAAAACTACTGGAAAAGCAGCCGGAATATCAATGCCTACGTCCATCGTGACGGAAACAGGGTCCACGTCCATTTTAACAGACGCTTTCGTGCCGCGCGTAAGAATAGCGTAACTTTAAAGACAACCTGAACTCCCTAGTTTAACCAAGAAAAATATGTTAATGTCTTCAGTGACTTATGTACGCAAAAAATCTAATCTGAAATGACCTCGCCGGTTGACACCTCTCTATTCAGACTTTACTTCTGTGTTTGACCCGATTTTCCAGTTAGCTACAGAAGAGTGTTTTAACATGCATATAAACCGTTCCCCTTTGTAGAGGTGGAAAAAAACGTTTTTTGAACGCGGATAGGTTGGTTGCGCTCTCCTCTCATGAATTATTAAATAGGCGTGACGACACAGAGGCGTGTCAGTACGTACAGCGAAGGTTCGTCGACTCTGCATTGGTTGTCAAAACGGTTATTTTTCATAAATGTATTAGAAAAACGTGTCACGAGAACCTTATTGATACACTGACACAGTGGGGCTTGAAGTGTGGGCATACATACCATATACAATTTTAAAATCACATGGCTTTTACACCTTTACCAATTCATTCCAAATAAAATCGCTTTCATAGTACGAGTGACCATAAAGGCCCTCTTTTTAAACCTTAACTTAGACATCATTAATAACAAAACAGTGATAGGGATTAAAACAACAATATGCCTTGTCATTGTACCTAATTAGCTCATGTCTCGCGAGAGAACCGCCCGCCCGTATCTTATTCAGTCTATGGGTTAGGTTTGGCACATGGCCTCGCACGTGCACTCATGGCACACACAGTGTGCACACAAGACCAATCACGAAGCAGCAACGGTAGCCTACAGGAAAAACATCGCGTGTTTCACGTGTTGAATGAGGTTGCATATATCTTGCCCTCAAGTTTACGATAGGCGATATGCAATTTATGTTACTCGGTCATATTTCATGTTTTATTTGTTTATGTTATATAGCCAATATGATACATTACAAATCAACAATCAGCGATTGCAGTGTAGCCCACATCTTTGTGTATTATTTGCACATTTCATTTACGGTTGCACCTTTAACATTTAAGAGGATCTGTGTCATCACATTTAAATAATCAGTCCCAATTTTAATACAGATGACAGAATCATATTGTCCAGAAGATTTTTTCCCCATAATTGATTTACTGAAATAAAAAGTTCTACACCTCTGCATCAGATTTAGCCAATTACTTGGTGCAACAATATCCAAAAACGTTTTATAAAGACAGTCCGTCAATGCAATACCGACACCATGAATAGGATAATTACATTGGAAAATTTTGCTAAGTAAATACATAAGAACAGACATCACGAAAAAAATTAGGTTAATGCAAATTTTCCCATAATATTAATAGTTTAATTGCACATACAGATTACCTAGCCACTGTAAGTAATGTATCCAAAACTTTGTTAGTAAACTATTTCTCAATGCACAACATTAGCTGTTGACACTTCATGAAAAGTCATGAAAAGAAAGAAAAAATCACTTTATCTAAAATAATGCATTACTTATTAGTGCTAATTTATTATTTAATGCCTCAGATGCTGGAAATATAGTCAATTTACGTCTCATTTTGAACGTATGTACCACTTGATCTACTTAATGCATGAGGTATTATCTAATGTCACAAGTACAATCCTGCAGTATACCAATTGTGCAGACTGTACAGTGGAAATGCAGGTAAATTCGAGTGTTCAAGTAACCTGTATTGAGCCAACAGTGAACATTCTTACCGTTGTCATCAATCGAAGGGACAGAGAAAGGATACTCAAGCAAGGCTTTGAACATTTCCGGAATTTCGGAAGACATTTCAAAACAGTATGAATTTCTCAACACCTGGGGAAAAGCTGGACGCAGGAGACGCTTAATCAGAGTTTCCACTTTCTCAAACGGTCTCTCACATAAATTTGATGCACCACTAAAAATTCTCTAACTTTTTATCGCTGTCACAAAGTCTGTCCTATCTACGAAGTTACTTAACTAGTCCCACCTCAAATTTCCTTATTTCCATAGGGCTGAAGATTTTGACCAATGAATATCGTTTCAGTGTGCCTGTTGTTTAATAGTCAATGAGGCGCGGTAGTTTATTGGTCATTCTAGCTGAATGTATTCACTCCGCCAGCCAATAAGAATGAAGACAAGTTATCTAAGTCTAAAACATCTGCGTGTCAATGATATGAAAGTGAGGGCAAAAATTCAGTTCAGTTGCGTTAAATCAGTGTCATTCACTTTCCAGAGGCAAAGAGAGTCAGACCTTAATGTCATGTTTTTAAAATGTGATAATTAACAACTTCTGAAAAAAGGCAATGAAGTAAATTAATTTAGGATTAAGATTTCTGAACAATAAAAAAAAAGAATATGTATTTCAGAATATGTACTTTATTCAGGTATTAACTATTGATGAACTGCATTCAGGTAGAGTAAACATCTGCCATTTTTGACCTCTATATTCTTTGACCTATGACATACTAACCACCAGAGACAAAATAATTTCGTTAAAAAGGCTATCTGTTCACCCACTGTTTAATGAATACAGCCTAATCAGACAGACTATTCATTTGCCATACTGATTTTTGCATACTATTTAGTAGTCTACATGCTAGTCAGGTTTTGAGGGAGTAGACTTCTCATTCTAGAGAGCATTTGATTGGACAAAAATATATGTAATGCAGGAAGAGTGATCAATATGAGATACACACTGTAAATTTTAAATGCATTTCTTAAAATGAACTTTGTCATTGTTTAGGAGTACACTAGAACATAGACGACTTTAAAGCTATCAAGTCACAACTCTCATTTTGATTTAACGTCTTTTAAAAAAAGCAATTCAATGAAAGTCAATAAAATCAGACACATTTTCTAAAACAGTCTATTTATTGTTAAACACTTTCATGAGATTTGGTCCACTGTGATCAATATTTCACTTCCAACCAGGGAGAAAAAGGAGAAACAAAACAGACAAATGTAAAAATACAGTACAAAAAGAGGCATTGTTTTTCCTTTTCATTTTTTCAAAACCCTGATTTTTACTGGTTATCTAAGTAGGTGAAAAATAAACCATCTCAACAGAAACATAACCTATATAATCCAACATTTGCTAAATCCCACATGGTCTTTTTAGGCTGAATATGAATTATTATGAACATATCTGCTTTACACTTCGTCCAGAAAGTGTGCAACACAAAGGTCATTTTAAAATGGGCAATCTTCCTTGGTTTCGAAGTCCAGAGAGCCCAGAACATTCCAGTTCTGTGATAAAATAAACACAAATGAAGAATGAGGATGGGAGTAAATGACCATTGCTGCAGCCTTCAGACAGTCAATAGCCAGCAGTACTAACCCTTTGATATGAATATGAATGACTGCAAACTCCACCCCATGTTTGAACAACAGAGACTGTTAACGGAGATTCTCAGCTCTCAGGTTGTGTGTTCTCTCTATCTCAACTGTTACGCACACTACCTCAGCTCTACCATAACATCTCAGCATGATCATGTTCCTCAGAATGTTTCAAATGAGAGTTATGTGCAAAACCATTCTCCATTGCCAACCAGAGAACATTTACAATACACTTCCCTCCCCTATTTCTTTAAACAAGTTGTTTAAAGGTGTATATATCATTATACTGAAAGAGTAGGATTATTTGTTAAGGTATTTATAATTGTATATAAATGTATTGTATAAGGCGCTATGCAGACAAACATAAATATCCATGCATGCTTTGTGTTCAGTCACAGTAGAGCTGTGAGGATCGAATCAAAACGATCAAGAACGTGGTGCACAGGGAATTTGCTAAGGCATGATGTCTCTTCACTACAACCACTCTATAAACCCTCTTAAAAGAGATCCCAGGTTTCAGAAACCTGACAGCAACTAACACACATCACAAAAGCATGACACTAAACGTTAATGGTGTCACTTGCTTTTCATTGAGTTTAGGCTGAAAGAAAATAAAGATAACTAGCCTAGGATCTCAATTCCTCTATTCTGGACAGCCCACTAAGCATACATAGACATAATTCACTGTTAAGTATTATATTCATACATGGATACATATATTTAAAGTGTTATACATAGCAATTAACATATACATATATCAATAGCATATAGGAAGATAGAAGTAGTCATAATGGCAATCATTATCATCACTGTCATCATCATAATAATAATAGCAGCAGTAATAATATGATCCCTCTGTAAAGCGTACTAGGTCGCTCCAGAATGTCCCTCTCAATCTCCATACAAGCTGGAATCTGTTACCAGGCCAAATCTGCTCCTTCACGTGTTATTTAAACCCTGATTTAAATTCAATGCAAAATTACAAGCTTGATTCCATTTTCTATAACAAACTATCTCAGGGTGATTAAATTACCTTTCTATAGCATTTATAGGCAGTTTGAGGCAGCACATTCTCATCTAGACCTCACAAATCGGACACTTCTGGAATGACTCATGTAAGAAAAAAAAATCACTAACCATCTAATCAGCAATACGTCATACAGCATAGCTCAATAACAAGAAGTTCTATGTAATCAATACAAGGTAAGGTTATACTTAATTAAGCTTAACTGCTAAGTTATCAATAATCATTAGTAGTATGCCAGTAGATATATGTGTGTGTGTGTGTGTATATATATATATATATATATATATATATCTCATGTCCACTGAAAATAAGGACAAGGCGTACTAAGGGTAGCACTGCATGTCTTGACAGTATATTATGAATATAACTACAAACAGGCAGGGCAAGTACAGCTCTTTTGCCTATATTCTTGCAATGCATTTCCGTTCATGCTCTTAATATGAAATCAATAAATGGTACATATGGAGAACTAATGAGCTACTGGCCCACGTTGAACTGTGGCAAACAAGAGTCTCTTAATTGCATGTTTATGGGTGTCACAGATTATGCACTTCAAATCCCAATCTATTAGCTTGAATGAACAAACACGGAAGCATCTTCCAACCGCCAATCACTCGATCAAAGAAAAAATAATAATAATAATAATACAAAGTGTATTTTCAATCCAAATAGTCTGATGACTCAAGTCTGCAAACAGCCCTTGTGTGCATTCTATCCTCTTCTTTATCAAGCACTGCCAAACTCACTCAGTGCAAATGGAAAGAATGAGGAAATGAGTGTATGTCAGTGCAAGATCTGTGACTGGCATTATGTGAGTTGGGGTGGTTTTTACTTAGTCCGTTATTAATTGCCTTAGTGTATCAAATACATTCGACATCTGAACAAATCTCAAATTTCTTGTAAATGGCCGCATTTGGCTGTACATTCAAACTCTTCTACCAATATGGCAGGAACAGTTAAGCACCACTTCATAACTTCAGACAAAATCATCAATCTGCCATCTGCCACCACATACTTGACTGAAACATGAGTGGCCTGCATGACAGGTGCTTTGATTTGATACGGGGACAACCAGTCTGTTTTGGTTTTGAGTTAAAAAAGCACTGTGGGAATAGATCTTCAACTCCTCAAATATGTGTTTAAAGAACGTAAAAACAAACTGCCCTTACTTGAGTTAGCTGTAAAAGTACCAGTGTGTACTCACATGACACCCTATAAGCCTGTGCCAAGTGTCATGTCAGTGAGTGGGCGAACGTGTTTGATAATGGGTGAAAAAGCATGTGGGATGTGTGTATGTGGCAACAATCACTGTATTAGTCCTATAGTCAAGCACTTTGCCCTGAAGGGCAGCAGAGTCTTGTACTTCCCAGAGTGGCACTGAAAGAGTGGGAAAGGGCCTTAGAAGCTGACATCTGAACAGGAAGTTTCATCCAGACCGCCTGTAACCACACACTTTCAGGACCAGGTCACAGATCCCCTCCACCACCAGACATCCGTCGCCCAACCTGTCAAAAAGAGCACGGATAAATCGGATTAACAAAAAAAAAAAAAAAACTAAGAGCTTTCTACTTAATCACACAAACAAGTCACTTTCTTCTGCAGCCACCCACCATTGACTCAGAATAGTCAGTTGGCATGGCGATCCGTTTTTCTTCTGGGGGTGGAGTCATGAGGGTGTCGTCTGCACGTCGGTTCTGATTGGTCAACGAAAGCCACATCTCGTACATCTGCTGCATGTCTCTCACTTAGAGAGCACAGAGAGATACGCAGATTGTGTTAAAACGCATTAATGGTTTAAGGAAACATCACTGAATCACACCCACAAAAATGCATAAAAAATAAAGCTAGAAATCATTCAGTTGAAGGAAATGGATTCTCACAGCTGTTGTTTTTCATATAGGTCCACACATCCCGCTCCTCCAAACTGTGTGCAAAAGAACAGTTCCCAATATAGTGGCACTTCTTCTGTTTCATGACATGAACACACATCTGCAAGCAAAAACGGAGAGTCAGCAAAAAGAAAAAAAAAAAAAAAAAAAAAAAAAAAAAAAAAAAAAAAAAAAAAAAAAAAAAAAAAAAAAAAAAAAAAAAAAAAAAAAAAAAAAAAAAAAAAAAAAAAAAAAAAAAAAAAACTTATGGTCATCTCAGTACAAGTGGCAACTTGGAAAATGAGTGAAGCAATCACCTGTTCCACTTTACTACTAGTTAATGAACATCAGAAGGTATGTTTGTATTAAAAAGTATTAAACAAAGTACAACTTTCTGAAATATGTCACATGTAATTCGCTAGTAACTTGCGAGTTAGCTGGAAAAAAAAAATATATATAGCTGAATATATGTACTCTGCTCAGTGGTAGAGCATTGCGTTAGCAGCGCAAAAGGTTGTGGGTTCGATTCCCAAGGAACACACATACTGGTAAAAAAAATGTCAACACAAACTGGAGTAGAAACAACCCTCTACGCGCACCTTGGCAGTCTAATTGCCATTGGCTAGTAAAGGTTTTAGTTTACTCGCCGGACTGATATACTATACTATTTTTCACACACACATAAATATAAATATATATATGTGTGTGTGTGTGTGTGTGTGTGTGTATTATATATATATATATATATATATATATATATATTTGACTCCACCAAATCAGCTTATCTTTGTAAAATGGCACAGCTTCTTAATCAATCAAGCATTATATTATGATATTATGATAATTAAGCACCATTTAATTATATAACTTTAGTGATTAGAACTAAAACTTGATAACCATGTATGAATGCATATTTGTCATTTTAATTTAGAACTGGTGGTGATGCTTCAGATATTGTTGGTCATTCAGGGTTTCTGTAAAAAAAAAAATGATAATAGTAATAGATAATTATTATTAAAAGATAATACTACTACTAATTCTACTACTATACTAACAATATACAACACACTAAAGATTGATGAGCTGCTGGGTTCATGAATATTAATCACGTTGTCAATCATGTAGAGGGTTGAGAAATATAATTATATCATTACAAATGTTTTTTTTAAAATAATAACTGCCTTATGTGCAGTTTATATGTTTGCAGACAACTCAGTTTTTATCCAAGCATTGATGATTATATCCACAAATAAACAGTAACTGAACAGCAGTTCGTATAACAATTTTGAAGTTAACAGCATTAGATGGTAGTGTCTTTTTACCCGAAATATCTACAAATAGAATCAGAATCTGTAAGACTTACATCATATTGTTGGGGGTAGGTACGGGAAAAAGGGAGCGGTCGCACTACCACCCACTTTTTCTTCTCAAACGATTTCACTAGCAACACCCTGCGCTCTTTTGTCCAGCTGGAAAGAAGAATAGACAAAGCAAATCATTATCGACCTCAGGCAAAGCTGCCGTCTACTGTGTCCAATAAAAGAAGTCACATTACAACTGTTCCAGTAAACATTCCAGGTACGTTAATTTTTAATGAGCACATATTGTGCATCCTGGTGGTAAGATGATGCCTGCTTGAATAAGGGAAGCTAACCTGTGCCTGGCTTTGGCAGTGCAGTACTTCAGTGACTTGTCTGGCTCATTGACCTGACCCTCCCTCCAACACTGTCCACACACAAACTTCATCTTCAGATTCAAGCCGCGCCCTCGACCGCATCCTACAAGTCCTCCTCCACCTCCTCCGGTGCTTCCACCCCCAATGCCATCTCCGCCTCCACTGACAACTCCTCCAGAGACCACAGCACTACTGCTGCTCCCGCTGGGCTGGTGGGAGCTGAGCATGGGCTGAAGACGGCGGGTGAAAAAGAAAGACTTACTAGACTTAAAACAACAGAATTTACATCTGCTGCAGGGCCAATCAAATAAAAGGACAAGATTCCAGCAAAGATGAGGCAGCACCTCATTTGTGAGGCAGCACAGTGTTGTTGCTCAGCCTCACCTTCTGTCTCTGCGAATTCTGTTCCAATCTGTGCCAGTGTCTCTTAGACTCCTGCACCATCTCCTCATGGGTAATACCTGCCCCAACACATAAGCAAAACTTTTATTTTTACCATCAGTTGATTTCAATTGTCAGTGTCAAAGACAGTAATGAACCAGAGCGTGGTGCAAAAAAGACACAAAAGTGACAGTAATTCCCTACACTACTGTTTAAACATTTGGGGTCAGTAAGATTTTTTTTTAATATTTTTGAAACGGGTCTCTTCTGTTCATAAAAACTGCATTTATTTGCTCAAAAATACAGTAAAACAGTAATATTGTAACTAGAGATCGCCCGATATATCGATTTACCGATATTTTCCCCGATATTTAAGCATTTTACAATAACCGGATATTGGTTTTGTAACATCGGATTCACCGATAAACGCCACCATCTTGTGGATGTTTTGAGAATTGCACGCAGGATCACCATTGCAGCGCATCTGAGGGGAAACAAGACAACAACAACAGGCGTGCACGGGTACTTGATTTACTGTAGTTAGTAAACTTTATTTAACATAACAGCCATTAATGCACAAATTAGATGTATTACATAAATGCCTGATATGCAGTTTATGCAGCTTGGCTCGAAGAAATAGAGACGAACTCACGGAGTCACGTTAAATAATCCGTCAAGTCCTGTCCCAATAAAGACGTAACTTTGCGTGAATTAAATAATATGCAGCCATGAATGGGCGCATGTTGGAAATAAAAGTGCTGGATTTAATTCGCTCTCTGTTGTCTATATGCTCATCGTCTCATGAAGTCGGAGTCACGTAGGCTAAGATAATCTGTCAAGTCCTCTTCCAATAAAGACGTAACTTTGCATTAATTAAATAATACAACCATGAACGAGCGCATGTTGGAAATAAAAACGCTACATTTTATTCTCTGTCTGTTGTCTATGCTCATCGTTAGTCTCGTGAAGCCACTTTCATATTGCTGTTCACTCACCGGGTTGATGCTCAGGAAATGCTCCAGCACGGCCACCGCATGTAACTTTATATGCTGGTTAGGTATGTTTTGACGCTGGGATGCTGGTTTAAGCTGGTCCTTTGCTGGTTTGTGCTGGTCCTTTGCTGGTTTTAGCTGGTCCTTTGCTGGTTTATGCTGGTCCTTTTGCTGGTTTATGCTGGTCATGTGCTGGCAAAGGACCAGCATAAACCAGCA